ATGCACCTGTGGCACCTTTTTATTATTCCTTTATGCTCTTGGTTGCCTATTTCTCTTGCTTCTTACCTCCTCTCACTCTCTCTTTCTCTCTCACTCTCTCTCTTGTGTACTTGGCTCGGCGGGGCGGGGTGCAAAGGGGCCAAGAGTGATGCAGGGGGTGGTGTACTATGGCGAGCGCTTCGTCGAGGTTCCGGACGCGTCCGTCACGCTCAAAGACATCTGCGCGTCGTTCGGCCTCTCCGGTGATCTCTCGGGTGTATGCATTAAAAACCGCGTCACCGGGCGTGTGGTGGCAACACTGCCGTTCGAGAGCCTCCCCGCCACTGCCAGCCTGTGCGGTGAAGAAGACAACACATACGACCTCTGTGATCCCGCACATCACGCCGACGGCAACGGCGACGATGAAACAGAGCGTGCCCCCACGACAGATGACATGACGGATATCTTGAAGCAGCTCGTGCAGTTGGGTGCCACGTCGCTACTCACAATGCAGATGGACTCGCAGGCGTCACTCGACTCGTACGACCCGCGCACCTCACCGGGCTTCTTGATGCGGACAATCTACCCGCCCTCTATTTACTCGCCGTATAGGTACTGCGGTGACCCACTGCGAACATCGTCTGCTACACACAACGTTGGTGCTCCTTATGTCAGTGCGGTGGAGCCATACAACGTTGAGGAGGCAACAGAAACGGCGTTGAGGCAGCGGCCAGACCTCATCCGTCAGAGCGAAGAGGAGGCGCAGGACATTCTGCATGGCCTTGTGGTGGCCGCCACTCAGGCAAAGACGATGAGAGCCATGGCCGATGTGGAGGAAGAGCGGCGAGCACCATTGGATGTGAAACCTAACCTTCAGTCCATACAGTTGAACTGAGTTGATGGAAGAGGGAGAGACAGATGAGGAAGTGATTGGTGGTGGTGGTGGTGGGGAATTGGCAAAGAAAGAGTTGGGAACATTTCAGTGTGGAGAGTCTCAGAAGGTCTGTGAGACCAGTCGATTCATAATAAAATGACCTTCTTTCTGGGTGTCATTGGTATTCCTCTTCGTCCCCCCCCCCCNTTCACCCCTCCAACCATGACTCTGTGGTGTACTTGTGGTGGGGAGAGGGTCCTTGCTAGTTCGAGGTGGTTTGTTTGTTCACACTCAGACAGACAGACATAAACTCTACCTATTTATGTGTTTTTTTTTTCTTTTTACCATAATTAGTTGCGTCCCCAGCCGCCACCTCTTAGCGGGGGGAGAGGATAAGAAGATAAGCTGTGGTGGATAAAGTTCGGAATGTATCGCCCCAGGCGATTACCACCAGGGCATCGCCGCGCAAGAGTGGCGTGGTGCTCAGTACCGTCAATGCTGCTCATTCTGGTCTTTCTCATCTTCAATGTGTTCCTTTGGTTGCCATTCCCACAGCGTCTGCAGCATGTCTCGGATGGGGAAGGTGATGCAGCGGCAGTAGCGCCACCGTCGACAACAGCGGGCGTAGACGCAAATGCAGGTATAGTCAAGAAGATGACAGCTGCAGCAATACCCGTCCCACGACCAGCGCCAGGCGAAGGAACGCAGGGTCTAATATCTCTGGGTTCACTGGCCAATGAAACACGAAAGGGATTACAAGACGTTGAGGAATCACCACTCTTACGTGTGTACTATACTCGACGAAGCCGGCTTTGGACACTCAAAGCCATCGTGGAGAAGGTTGGGTACAAGCAGGGTGTGACGCCGACCATCTGCCCACCTTTACCGGGGAATGTGACAATTCCTATCGAAGAGCCTTTTGAGATTGGAATGATGCGTGAGTTTGTGGGCGGCATGTATCACCCGGTGCACTGTAGACGGTGGGAGCGATACGACCGCCAGATCCAAGAGGAAGAGCAGTCTATCAAGCCTTTACAGGAAGGACGGAAGAAGTGTAGCGAATATGCATCGTGGGACCAAGCCGAGGTGATGAAGCATGTGCCAAAGTATGCGTACGTGATGATGGTGTCGAATCACCGTTACTTGGATGGGGCAATGGTGCTGGCAGACTCCATTCGCAGGCAGTCTCCTCTGAGCCGCAACGGTGGTGCGGACATTGTGTTGATGATCAGCGAGCACATCAAAAAGGAAATGTTTGTATTGCTACAAGCTGCCTTTGACCGGGTGATGGTTTTTCATGGGCTACAGCAGTGGGCCCCAAAGAGTGCGTATCAGGCCACTTTTGACAAGATGTACCTTTACATGCTGGAGGACTACACGGGTGGGATTGTGTTCCTTGATGCAGATAGCCTCATCACCGATAATCCAGACTTCCTCTTGAAAATGCCTGAGAGTATCGTGAGGGTTGTACACTCCACGGATCCCAGCAGCTGGACAAAGGAACGACGTGATGCACTCTCTTACCCGCTCGCAGAGCACGAGTGGAAAAGACTCATAGCGAATAAGACTGTGCCATTGTTATTTGCAGTTGGTGATGATGCTTACTTTCAAACCGGTCTGATGATTCTTCAACCGTCGCTGAAGGTGTTTCTTGACCTTTACTTGGAATTTCGTCTTGGTAGTTACGGGTACAATCGTTGGCAAGCGCGCGATGGACTTCTCTTCCGCGCCTGCTTTAACACCATTGGGGAAATGCTGAAGCGCCCTCGTGGGGTGTACCACTTTACTGGCACGCCAAAGCCGTGGTTCAATCTCGAGCGCCTTGATCATAGTTTGCAGGTGATGGGGGTATGGATGCGAAAGCAGCTTTCCCAGTCATGGCGAGATAACGCTAATCGGTACGAATGGTGGACGCTGTATGAATCGCTCCACGTGGAGGTGCTTCGTCACATCGAAATGGAGACACGCAAACGTTTAGGTCCTGCGCAAGATTTGGCACTTAAGAAGTGGCGCAAAAAGTATGGGTCTGGAATGAAGAACATTCCCGCGGAGGTGCATATCACAAAGTATGGCGGAGCAGTGCTGCTGCGTAAACCAACGGTGTCGTTGCCACTCCCTCTTGGTCTCCGCTCGGTGGAGGAGGCTGAGCACGCGTCCCCTAACGCATACATGTGGTTGATGCGCTTTAGCAAGGCAAAGGAGTACCTGCATCCCACAAGAGCGCATGTTGCAAAGCTGCGCATTGGTACAACTCCCATTGCCTCCGCCGATGAGTTGCATCTTCTTCTGTCTCCCTCTTCACCTCCTTCATTCCCACTGAAGGCGAAAATGAACGGCTCTGTTGCGTACGCGTTTGCAGCGGTGCAGACCCAACAGCCTGCAGGTGACGAAGAGGAGGGAGGGGGTGAATGGCATAATTGCGAGACTTCCTGTGCCAAGCTGCAGCTACAGTGTGATGTGTCCCTGTTGCTTGACACACGTATTGCGGACTGTCAGCACGGTAATCCCGTTGGCACCATGGCAAATGGTCTTATTCGCTGCAAACGTTGTCTGCCACATTTCAAGGCGGGTGCACCATTTGTTCTCTTTCAAAAACATGAATCGAATGGAGCATGGATCCAGGAAGTTGATGTGTGCTTTTTCAACGCCTGGACTCGCTTCAGTGTGCCTCAGTGCAACGCATCAAAGCCACACTTGAAATCATATGAATTAAAAAAAGGGGACCTCTTGGTTCCTGTATGCGCTTGTCGGTGAGGGTTCATGGTCTTCCATGCTACTGCTTGTTCTTGCTCTTTGTGTATACCGGTTTATATGTGTGGATGTGGGGGTGGGGATGAGTGATTTTGTGTTGTCTTTTGGTTGTTTGGAGGGGGGGGAGCAGGCGAAGCCATCGTGGGCCGTATTGGTTTGTACTTCAATTGGCAGCGAAGTCATGGACCCGCCTTGAGTGTTTTTTTTTTCCTCGTGCCTCTGTGCATTGATTTTTTTTTTTGTGCCGTTGTTGTCTTTCATCTTGGATGCCAAGGGATAGGGAGAGAGAGAGCGATGAAGGGTTTAGGCACGTGGGAGTCTGCCGTGGAGGCGGCCGAGGCGCAGAAGAAGAAGCGGGGTGGGGGGTTTCAAAGCTTTGGGCTCGACAAGCCGCTCCTCGACGGTGTGCTGCGGCTCGGCTACAACGTGCCGACGCCCATCCAGCGCAAGGCAATCCCGCCAATGATTCAGGGCAACGATGTGGTCGCCATGGCCCGTACGGGGTCCGGCAAAACGGCGGCGTTTCTCATTCCGACGCTGCACCTTCTTAAGGCGCATAGCAAGATTGTGGGTATTCGGGGGCTCATTCTCTCCCCAACGCGGGAGCTGAGCCTGCAGATCTTACGTTTTGGTATTCAGCTGAACAAGTTTTTAGACCTGCGCTTTGCGGCGCTTGTCGGTGGTAACTCGATGGAGCAGCAGTTTGAGTTATTGGGGTCGAATCCCGATATTGTCGTGGCAACACCAGGACGTCTCCTGCACATTATGGAGGAAGCGTCACTGCAGCTGTCGATGGTTAAGTGTCTTGTGTTAGATGAAGCCGATCGCCTATTTGAGCTGGGCTTGCAGCCGCAGATTGTCGCCATCATGCAGAAGCTGCCAGAGTCCTGTCAGCGAGCCCTCTTCTCTGCCACGATGCCTAGCGTTCTGGCGGAGTTCACTAGTGCCGGCCTTCACAACCCTGTTGTCATTCGCCTGGATGCAGAAATGAAACTGAGTGAGAAACTTAAACAAAGTGCCTTTGTGGTTCGTAACGACGAAAAGGTTGCCGCCCTCATTGTGTTGCTGAAAAAAGTACTTGGCGTCTCCGTGAACGACGACAGTACCCAACAGGCCCTCATCTTTGTCGAATCCAGGTTTCACGTGGACTTCCTGCAGGTTGTGATGGAGGCGTACCACATCTCCTGCAGCGCGGTGCATGGCAGCATGGACCAGGAGGCGCGGCGCAACGCCGTGCACGCCTTCGCCAAGCGCCAGACGAACGTCATGATCGTCACGGACGTCGCCGCACGCGGCCTCGACCTCCCGCTGCTAGACAACGTTGTGAACTTCTCCTTCCCGACAACGCCAAAGATGTTTGTTCACCGCGTTGGACGTGTCGCACGCGCAGGGCGTGCCGGCGCGGCGTACTCGATACTCACCTTCGAGGACTTCGCGTACTACGTCGACCTCATGGCGTTCCTCGACCGCCCGCTGCAGTGCCGCCGCA